ATGGACAATACTTCCTCACTAGAATGGTTCTGTGATGCCTTTCACATGGACAATACTTCCTCACAAGAATGGTTCCAGTGATGCCTTTCACATGGACAATACTTCCTCACAAGAATGGTTCTGTGATGCCTTTCACATGGACAATACTTCCTCACAAGAATGGTTCTGTGATGCCTTTCACATGGACAATACTTCCTCACAAGAATGGTTCTGTGATGCCTTTCACATGGACAATACTTCCTCACTAGAATGGTTCTGTGATGCCTTTCACATGGACAATACTTCCTCACAAGAATGGTTCTGTGATGCCTTTCACATGGACAATACTTCCTCACTAGAATGGTTCTGTGATGCCTTTCACATGGACAATACTTCCTCACTAGAATGGTTCTGTGATGCCTTTCACATGGACAATACTTCCTCACTAGAATGGTTCTGTGATGCCTTTCACATGGACAATACTTCCTCACAAGAATGGTTCTGTGATGCCTTTCACATGGACAATACTTCCTCACAAGGATGGTTCTGTGATGCCTTTCACATGGACAATACTTCCTCTCACTAGAATGGTTCTGTGATGCCTTTACATGGACAATACTACCACAAGGATGGTTCTGTGATGCCTTTCACATGGACAATACTTCCTCACTAGAATGGTTCTGTGATGCCTTTCACATGGACAATACTTCCTCACTAGGAATGGTTCTGTGATGCCTTTCACATGGACAATACTTCCTCACAAGAATGGTTCTGTGATGCCTCACATGGACACATGGACAATACTTCCTCCCTTTCACATGGACATGGTTCTGTGATGCCTTTCACATGGACAATACTTCCTCACTAGAATGGTTCTGTGATGCCTTTCACATGGACAATACTTCCTCACTAGAATGGTTCTGTGATGCCTTTCACATGGACAATACTTCCTCACTAGAATGGTTCTGTGATGCCTTTCACATGGACAATACTTCCTCACTAGAATGGTTCTGTGATGCCTTTCACATGGACAATACTTCCTCACAAGGATGGTTCTGTGATGCCTTTCACATGGACAATACTTCCTCACTAGAATGGTTCTGTGATGCCTTTCACATGGACAATACTTCCTCACTAGAATGGTTCTGTGATGCCTTTCACATGGACAATACTTCCTCACAAGAATGGTTCTGTGATGCCTTCACATGGACAATACTTCCTCACAGAATGGTTCTGTGATGCCTTTCACATGGACAATACTTCCTCACTAGAATGAATGGTTCTGTGATGCCTTCACATGGACAATACTTCCTCACTAGAATGGTTCTGTGATGCCTTTCACATGGACAATACTTCCTCACAAGAATGGTTCTGTGATGCCTTTCACATGGACAATACTTCCTCACTAGAATGGTTCTGTGATGCCTTTCACATGGACAATACTTCCTCACTAGAATGGTTCTGTGATGCCTTTCACATGGACAATACTTCCTCACTAGAATGGTTCTGTGATGCCTTTCACATGGACAATACTTCCTCACTAGAATGGTTCTGTGATGCCTTTCACATGGACAATACTTCCTCACAAGAATGGTTCTGTGATGCCTTTCACATGGACAATACTTCCTCACTAGAATGGTTCTGTGATGCCTTTCACATGGACAATACTTCCTCACTAGAATGGTTCTGTGATGCCTTTCACATGGACAATACTTCCCTCACTAGAATGGTTCTGTGATGCCTTCACATGGACAATACTTCCTCACTAGAATGGTTCTGTGATGCCTTCACATGGACAATACTTCCTCACAAGGATGGTTCTGTGATGCCTTCACATGGACAATACTTCCTCACAAGAATGGTTCTGTGATGCCTTCACATGGACAATACTTCCCTCACTAGAATGGTTCTGTGATGCCTTTCACATGGACAATACTACCTCACTAGAATGGTTCTGTGATGCCTTTCACATGGACAATACTTCCTCACTAGAATGGTTCTGTGATGCCTTTCACATGGACAATACTTCCTCACTAGAATGGTTCTGTGATGCCTTTCACATGGACAATACTACCTCACAAGAATGGTTCTGTGATGCCTTCACATGGACAATACTTCCCTCACTAGAATGGTTCTGTGATGCCTTTCACATGGACAATACTTCCTCACTAGAATGGTTCCCAGGATGCCTTCACATGAATGGTTCTGTGAATACAATACTCCTCACTAGAATGGTTCTGTGATGCCTTTCACATGGACAATACTTCCTCACAAGGATGGTTCTGTGATGCCTTTCACATGGACAATACTTCCTCACTAGAATGGTTCTGTGATGCCTTTCACATGGACAATACTTCCTCACAAGGATGGTTCTGTGATGCCTTTCACATGGACAATACTTCCTCACTAGAATGGTTCTGTGATGCCTTTCACATGGACAATACTTCCTCACTAGAATGGTTCTGTGATGCCTTTCACATGGACAATACTTCCTCACAAGGATGGTTCTGTGATGCCTTTCACATGGACAATACTTCCTCACAAGAATGGTTCTGTGATGCCTTTCACATGGACAATACTTCCTCACTAGGATGGTTCTGTGATGCCTTTCACATGGACAATACTTCCTCACAAGAATGGTTCTGTGATGCCTTTCACATGGACAATACTTCCTCACAAGAATGGTTCTGTGATGCCTTGTGATGTTGTAACACTTGGAGAGTGCCAAGGGCAAGCTTGAGTTGCTATTTATAATTCAGGTTTGATTGAATGATGCTGAATCTTCATCATTATCATGCTTCAGTTTGATCATAACACATTGTCGTGGTTGGGTAGACAAGCTTACCGTAGTTTCTCTCTTATATGTCAGGATGTCTATACATTTTGCACAGCAGATTCACTTCGAGTCTGTGAAAGGTTGGCATCTTATTCATTTGGCTCAGTGGAAACTCGCTAGCTCACCATGTCTCTTATTCTACTACCATTCAAATGAGATATTTACTGGAAACTGTCATTATTAAATGAAGGGAGCAATCATTACATGCCGTCAGTGATTGTGATACCGGGGATCATTACTTTCATCAAATGATGGACCTGGCGTCTATGGTTTGGTCAGAACAAATAACTTGGCATCACGGCGTGTTTTGGAGGAAATACAGCCCAAAGTGGCTGTGTACATTTACTGTATTCTATGTATTGTATAATGATCGTGTGCATTGTGAATGTGTTGTATCACACCCTATGTCGTTTTGTTACTTTGTTGCCCAGTACCTGTGATTGTACATCATTATAGTCCCAGGCACATTGTACTAATACAAATTCCCCAAAGAGAGTTGGAGATGATCCTGACAATATACAGCCAAGACATTTAAATACCTCATAAAATATTTGTTTTACTAAAACATAAATCTGACCACAGAACTAAGGACAGATGCGTTAGTTCAGCTATGTATTTATTTGGGCAAATAACGGTACTTTTATTGTCATGTTGTTTTTGCTCTTCTAAAATATCTAATTCACAAGCAGTTACTTTTAAATTTTTTCAACATGGCAAACAATAAATGAACTACCGAGCGAACAGTTATATTTCTTTCAGCCTACTGCAAATTGTACAGAAAGCCAATCCATATCTATTTTTGTTGTAACTACACAGGAGAAAGTTGATGTCCATGCGCTTGTGTTCCGATGGTGTAACTTGATGAACTATGTGTGCGTCAATCTATAGCCAATATCCCATAAATGGGTGCCCCTGAAGATGTTTCCCAATAGCAATTTAATCTGTTGAGGGGATATACAACATGGCTGATGTTAGATAAACATTATCTCCATCCTTGGTTATTATCATCTTGGCTTTCCTATCAACTTGATGAATGTGAAATGATTATACTCCACGCTTGAATATATCACGATGAATAACTATCAAAACAGTCTCCTATTACTGTTTGTTGTCAATTGTTTATCATTTATATACCTTCCACCGAAACCATGGCAACGCTCTTGCAGTGTTTGGGTAGCATTCATTATTTAACAAAAAGCTGAGGCGAAAAATCCACTCCTTGTTGGTTTTCATTTAAACCTTTATGTTGTGCCACTATTGTGCTGTCATGTTGCAAACAACATAGAAAGTAGTCATTAGGCAGGCTGGGAGATACAGGAGGGATTGTTTAGTGTTATACGCACACTCCATCATATAATCCCTGCCATTGAATATGTTCAATAGAACATGGACAGGGAATATAGCCCAGATATGTTTCGCACTGGAGTGTATGGTCCAACTGAATTAGTCTATTAAAAGCACTGCAGTTGCTTGTTTGTGTTGGAGAATTGTTAGGCAGGCAAGATAAAAGCTTTCTGGGTCTTGTTTATATCTGTAGCAAACTCCAGACTACGAGACTATTTATAATTGATTTGTTTACACCAGTGTCAGGGCTTGGGTTGTTTACACAGTTGCCTTTGGCAAACAGCCAGTTTGTTTATCCCGCCTGCCCATTATAAAATTGTCCAACTAGAGACAAGCTAAGATGGAAAGATAGATCGATGTTTAGTAATTTTCTGTCCTCACAAAGGAAGCAGTAATTTTAACACAGAACAGTTGGAGAGAGACTGATGTGAAGGATTTATTTCAGAACTGCTTTGTGCTGTGTTGGAAGGATAATCTGACAAAAACATGTTTTCTATGTGTGTTTGTGAATGAAACATTGCTGACATTTTCTCAACGGGTTTGATGTTGGTGAACAAACAACTCTCACTTCTTAATGGTGTGTAGAAAGTGTCTTCACGCACTTAACTTAAATACTGTGTTGAGGTACAACCCTGTGACAGATTTATGAATTACAGTGTGATGATGAAGAGGGACTACAGCAGCCACTTTCAGAAAACTGTTGGCTTTCCCAAGAATATGTGTTCGTTACTGTCAGTTCCCCCAAGTCTGGGTTTTATTTCCCCTGTAGGGGGTGGGTATGGTTATACCCCAGAAGTGCTATATAACTCGTATCTGCACTCCATGTTGCCTTCTACTTCAGGAATGATGTCTCCTGCCGAAATTCAGCAGTTGTGGAAGGAAGTGGCAGCACAGTCAGGACTTGAAGAAACACCCAAAAATGGTTTGACAATACCCACAATTCCAAGTGTAACGAGCGCACCTAGCGTGACTGTTCCTCCCCAGACAACTGTGATACAAGCTCCCTCATATATGACCAATGGTGGAATTCCAGTTGATGGATTCTTATTACCAGGTAAGGACACTGACTAAATGCTGTTATTACCAGTCGTTTTCTGTTACTCATGAAATTTAATATATCAGCAGCTGTATTTAACGTATCACATATCTACTGATACTTGCACTACCAATCTATTTTTTGTCAATGGCGTCACATATCACTCCTTGTCATGCAGTATCAGTCATCCACCGTATTTAGTCCTTCACATGTGACTGACAATGAACCAATGGCTGACAACTTCTACCTGTAATCCCATGTGTAGATATTATTGAAAGTTTTGGCCCATGTTTGTTGTCCAGTATCTGATATATGTCTTCACTTATGTACGATATTTGTTGCTCTGCAACTACCATATTGTGTCAACTATTTGCCATCATATGACTTAAAATATGAGCTCTGAGACTATTGTGTCAATTTTACACAATAACAGATTCAAAATAGTTGTAGCTCCGATACTATTATTTCACCTTTTTGCCCTCACTGACTTACGATAGTTGTAGTTCTGTTACTATTGTGTCAACTATATGCTATCACTGACTTACGATAGTTGCAGCTCTGTTACTATTGTGTCAACTATATGCTATCACTAACTTACGATAGTTGCAGCTCTGTGACTATTGTGTCAACTATTTGCCCTCACTGACTTACGATAGTTGTAGTTCTGTGACTATTGTGTCAACTATTTGCTATCACTGACTTACGATAGTCGTAGTTCTGTGACTATTGTGTCAACTATTTGCCCTCATTGACTTACGATAGTTGTAGTTCTGTGATTATTGTGTCAACTATATGCTATCACTGACTTACGATAGTTGTAGCTCTGTGATTATTGTGTCAACTATATGCTATCACTAACTTACGATTGTTGTAGCTCTGTGACTATTGTGTCAACTATATGCTATCACTGACTTACGATAGTCGTAGTTCTGTGACTATTGTGTCAACTATATGCTATCACTGACTTACGATAGTCGTAGTTCTGTAGCTCTGTGATTATTGTGTCAACTATATGCTATCACTAACTTACGATTGTTGTAGCTCTGTTACTATTGTGTCAACTATATGCTATCACTGACTTACGATAGTCGTAGTTCTGTGACTATTGTGTCAACTATATGCTATCACTGACTTACGATAGTCGTAGTTCTGTGATCATTGTGTCAACAATATGCTATCACTGACTTACGATAGTCGTAGTTCTGTGACTATTGTGTCAACTATATGCTATCACTGACTTACGATAGTCGTAGTTCTGTGATCATTGTGTCAACAATATGCTATCACTAACTTACGATAGTCGTAGTTCTGTGACTATAGTGTCAACAATATGCTATCACTAACTTACGATAGTCGTAGTTCTGTTACTATTGTGTCAACTGTATGCTATCACTGACTTAAGAATGTTGTAGCTCTGTGACTATTGTGTCAACTATATGCTATCACTGACTTACAATAGTTGTAGTTCTGTGACTATTCTGTAAGCCATGCGCCACTGACTAACGATAGTTGTAGTTCTGTGACTATTGTGTCAACTATATGCTATCCCTGACTTACGATAGTCGTAGTTCTGTGACCATTGTGTCATCTATTTGCCATCACTGACTTGTGATAATCGTTGGTGCACTCTCATTGTGCAACAGGGCTCAACAAGAAAATCCTGTGGTATGCAAATTCTTTTTAACTTTTTCACAGGTACAGCTGTGAAAGCTGATATAAGTAACTGCAGGTCATTAAAGCTGTCTCCTCTTGCCCATTTTCGTCACAATACTTTCCAATATTTCTTTCCAATTCTTGTTTCCCAAATTTATTTCCCAATTCTTTGTTTCCCAAAATTTATTATCAGGCTTGCCACTAACTAACTTTTTAAAGCAAATGACAATAATACCAGCCATGATGTTACCGATGTTTTCAGTGAAGTACTGTATTTTTTAAGTGTCTGTAATTTAACACTGTTAGAAACATGTTGAAATATTAATTTACCTTAATTTGATGTGTAAGCAAAGGTTGTTTACAAGTATACTTGTACATGTCTGAAAGTTCTCAGACTTGGAGACTTAAGGTGTTATATCAGATTCTATTTATAACCTTACTTCTCAGACTTGGAGACTTAAGGTGTTATATCAGATTCTATTTATAACCTTACTTCTCAGACTTGGAGACTTAAGGTGTTATATCAGATTCTATTTATAACCTTACTTCTCAGACTTGGAGACTTAAGGTGTTATATCAGATTCTGTTTATAACCTTACTTCTCAGACTTAGAGACTTAAGGTGTTATATCAGATTCTATTTATAACCTCAGACTTGGAGACTTAAGGTGTTATATCAGATTCTATTCATAACTTTACTTCTCAGACTTGGAGATTTAAGGTGTTATATCAGATTCTATTTATAACCTTACTTCTCAGACTTGGAGATTTAAGGTGTTATATCAGATTCTATTTATAACTTTACTTCAGACTTGGAGATTTAAGGTGTTATATCAGATTCTATTTATAACTTTACTTCTCAGACTTGGAGATTTAAGGTGTTATATCAGATTCTAAGGTGTTATATCAGATTCTATTTATTACTTTACTTCTCAGACTTGGAGATTTAAGGTGTTATATCAGATTCTATTCATAACTTTACTTCTCAGACTTGGAGATTTAAGGTGTTATATCAGATTCTATTTATAACCTTACTTAGTTTATTATTATGATATTTTTTCCATTATTTATAACAATGATAAGATATTACTGATGCAGTTAGGTCTTGTGTGGACTGGAGTGAACTCCTTCATAGTTTGTATGCCTGAAAGTAAATGTGCACATGTGTATGTGAATAGTGTCACTGCCGACTTCCTTCTCATATCCCAGCATGCAATGCAGTCTGAAGAAACACAATTTGATTCAGCCATAAAATAAATAAATAAGAGGAGAATGAGTCAGCCTTCTCCTGCTTGTCTTACATCAAGTGCTCAACGAGACAGGATGTTTAGAAAGGGTTGGATGTTTACTGTTGCCAGGGCGTTTTGTTTACTGTTGGTAACCTAAACTCAAGGAATAAACACCTTTCTTGTGACCCATGCACTTAATAATATTCCCCCAAGAACTGCTCATGGTTATTTGTTTGTTCAAAGCATCATCAGAAGGAAAATCAAGACTGGAGAAGTTTCCTGACATCCCATTTCTATAATCTGTTTCTTGTTTTGAGCTACTTTCCTAGAGTCAACTATGATATTCTTTGACCTGTGAATACTGTAAAATAAAATAAATTGATTGTCTTTATTGATTTTTGTCTACACATGTGAACTGAAATAACATTACACTGGCACATGTTGTTAGGAAACTTTTTTATATAGTACCAGGTGAATTATGTAGAACAGTTTCGATGTTGTGTTTAGCGTTTTATGAAAATATTTCTTCAAAAGCATGTTGGAAGGTTCATGCATGTGTCTTACATAAGTAGCGTATTGTTTTTGTCTAAACATGTCATATTTTGTCATTATTGTTGTGAAATATGTGTCAAGCAAGCATTGCCTAGACTGTGTGGGAGGAACTCAGTTAAGCTCAATGTATATCAACTGAGGATCAAGTGATCACAATGGCTATAGAATATATAAAAGGTGCTTTTAAGTGTAACCAGGTTATATGGAGAGGTAGAATTCCAGAATATGCTTTGAAAAACCTGCTGTTAAACACAGTTTTAAGACTTGTCAGTGATCATACCATGTCATGTTACTTGTCTAGTACACAATTGTTTTTTGGGGGTGTCCTGTCCTTACAACCGTTGCATACCGTTATATAGAGGATATTATATGAGTGCCCTTGTCATACTATGGTTCGATTCCCCTCATGGGTACAATGTGTGAAGCCCATTTCTGGTGTCCCCTGCCGTGATATAGCTGGAATATGGTTGCAGGCTAAAGGGTAAATGTGCAATAGCTCATATTGCTGATTAAAAGGTTAAAGTTGTGACATAACTGTACTATATCTATTTTGCAGCAGTTTTTAGCATGAATTAATAGGACATAAACATCATCGAAATGCTTGAAACTTCCTGATAATCTAGACACAAATTTTGAAAATCAACTCCATAACTTTCAATAAATAGTGATTTCCAGTAAAGGTTGATTGTCAACAACAGTTACGCTTAAGAACAGAATTTGAGTCTCAGGACTATGTAGATTTACGTTATAAAATGGAGATGGCACATATTAATGTTGATGAAATTGTTTATCACAGTGTAAGTTACCAACAAAGTCATGCCATTATTGTGTTGATTGCTCCATGTGAACTGGGTGATACTATGCATCCATGTAGTGGTAAGTCATGACAGTCCTGTTAAGTACCTGTTAAGTTTCTGTCACGGCGAGTCTTCACAGAATAAGGCCAGTCGTCACACAATAAGGTCAGTCGTCACACAATAAGGCCAGTCATCACATAATAGGGCCAGTCATCACACAGTAAGGCCAGACGTCACACAATAAGGCAATATGCAAGTTATTTCAATTTGTAAGTAAGCTAGATATTCTAGAAAATATCACCTAAAACACCCTTGTCCTGGCATTGCCGGCCTGTTCAATTCCCAACACCATGATTTACATGAAATGTACTGTTACTGCAAGTTTTTACTTTTCACCGTTTGATAATCAAGCTGTTACCATGATGCAGCTGATGATGCTGTCATCGTCAAAAATTCAATCAAATGTTTTGTGACAGATGTGGAAGAAGCCAACGCCTCAAAGTTAACTATATGGGACAAAAGTAACAGCCTGTTGTGCAGGCTTTTGTTGATTCTCTGATGGCTTGGAAACACAGGCCTTCGATCATCCCACCTGGACGTGAAAAAACAACCACTGCAAACTTGACCAAGGCAATAACCCCTTCCCTCTTATTTTGTTCAATAGTCTAACATGAGCTGTGCATATGGTAAAACATGTGTGTCATCATGCATGAATGAAATATTCTGTAGGAGAAAGGGGTGGTGGGGTAGCCTAGTAGTTAAAGCGTTGGCTCGTTACGACAAAGCCC